CTATTTAACCTGGATACTAAAATCATTAGAAGTCAATTTATATCATGCAAGTCTAAAAATATATATAATTAGAGTTTAAATAGATTCCTAATAGTTGAGGAAAATATATATTTTAACCCATTATAAATATTTATTAATTATGTGATAGAAAATATAAACAATTATTTTGTTAATTTTCCATTTTCATTTTTCTTAACTAATTTGAAGTGTTAACACATGTCATCATCTGATCAATATTAGATACATGTCGCGATCTCGTTAGTTATAGTTTTGCTTACGTGTCAAGTTCATATAAAAATACATTACGATAAATATTTTCAATTTTGAAATTAATAACTTCTATAATTTTACAAATATAATTAGTTTCTAAATTACAACCAGCAAAAATATTTAAAATTTATTTTATTATTATATTTTATTAAATCGTCAATTTATTATAGTTATGGTTGTGATTGAATCATAAAAATATTTACAACATTATTATAGTTTTTATGAGGTTAGTAACATACAATTTACTCTTTTCTGAATTAACTATATAGTATTTTAGTTGTTTTTATTGTCTATCATATAATAATTAATATTCATAATGTGTTAAAATATATATATTTTATCTGTTATTAAGAATATAATTTAAATTCTGATAATATATATTTTTGGATTTGCATGATATTATATTATTTGTTATTTGATGGCTTATGTTATGTCTATATTTCATCTTAAACTTTGTTTCTTAATTATTATTGATAATATTAGAAATTTTACTTTTTATTATTTGATTAGTAACTTGACAATTACTTTCTATTTTAAATTTTATTTTTTTTAATTAATTTTAACTTTTAACACATTCTTCATCTGATCAATATTAGATACATGTCACGTGAGTTATAATTTTGCTTACGAGTCATGATGATGTAAAAACTAATTGCGGTAAATATTTTTGATTTTAAAATTTATAATGCCTATAATTTGACAAATGTAATTAGATTCTAAATTAAGACTCGCACAAAT